AATTAAATAATAATGGTTGGCTATTAATAAAAGCCACTTTAATGTTTATTTACTTAACTATCTTGCAAATGTTTATTTTAATATTTTGTAAATTAAAGAGTGTCGAACAATTTGATGTAGGAATGTATAAAACGTTATCATTTATTTGACTTCAAACTTAGCATGTGATTTGTTTACGTTGTTTTAGGTGAGTAAGTTGTTTAATTAAGATTTTGTATATTACTGTAAATAATTTTATTGCAACCAACTTCAATGTAAATACGTAGTATAAGCAAGATAGTTCATTATTTTAAACTCTTTAGAATATCATTCAAGTGTATAATGTACTTTTACACTTTTTTTTCTTTCTACGATAACATTTTGAAATGCATGTACCCGTAGTTGAATATGCTAAGTTATATTTTAAAAACTTACCAATTAATACATATTTAGAATTTAATAGCGAAAACACAGCAAAGATAACAATTTCCTGGCCCTAGACTATGTTTCAACCATTCAATTTACATTTTGAATTATTTAAATTATAAAACTAGGTACCGTATAAGTAGTGCTCCGTATGTCCATGGTAATCACTTACCCTACTTATTAAAGGTCACTGTCTGCATCAAATCATTAAGTATTTATTTATACCTCTCAGCTATTTTAACGTTGCACCTATAAAGCTATTAGACCTAATGTTACACTGTCCCTGTGGGAAACGGAGCTGTTCTAACAATTAGCTTTACGAGAACACGTTTATAAATATTAATTTCATATTTGGTATCTTTGGAAAGCTTAATTTCATTCTGCATTTAACGGAATAGGTTTTAAATAAAGGTCTTGATAATTATTGGAACGACAATTGAAACCTAAACTTGTACTATGTTCAGCGGCTGGCAGCGGAGTAGTGAGCGTAGCGCAGCGCTGTCGCGACCTGTCGTGTACTCTGTGAACTACGTCCAGTGGGGACACGCTCGCTAAATGGGGACACGGATTACGCGCAACACAGATATAACTGTGTTTACCTATATTACTTCTCTGTGGTTACATTGAAGCCCATAATTTTCCAAACAAAATGATACATAAAACAGTATACTTTAGGCCTACATTGTTTTTTCTAAGATACATTTTAATAAAACCCTGCGATTGCGCAATAACTTAAATGGGCGAACATTAAGACCAAAACTAGACACTTGGAGGGTTAAGAAGCTGTACCCAACTGGGCTAGGCCTATGCTAATATCAATTGAAACTATCGAGGTAATTCTGAGCAATTACTTGGTCAACCCCAATTTTTTTCATACTTTACTACGGTCATCAGGAGGTTCTCAGAAAGCAAGAAACATATAATTCAAGGCCCGCAAGGCCATATTACAGGTTGCCGAGCGATAAGAAGGTTCAAAGTTTAAGCGATAACAGTGGCTTGCGGGAGGCGCGCGGAAGGCCAGTTGTGACAGTACCGTTATGGCTATGGCTAGTGGTTCCTCCGACAATCCTCCCGGCGATTACTGAGTTAATTAATAACCTAACTTAACCTAACCTAACCTAACTTATTATGTTTTTTTAGTCTCAAATACATCTCTAAGGCCAATTGTAACAGTACCGTTACGTTACGTTAGGTTACGTTAGGTTAGGTTAATTAACCCTTTGAGTGCCAACGTCCGGGGAACCGGACGTTTTTAAAACGAGCCAAAAGTGCCAACGTCCGGCCGACCGGACGTTTTTAGAACGAGCCAAAAGTGCCAACGTCCGGTTGACCGGACGTTTCGTAATGATCGAACAGCTGTCATAACAACCGAATAAATACTCGGATTCTTTTAACCCATATATTAACATTGAGTCGAAAGTTGCTAGATGCGATACATCGATTTTCGTTGGTCGAAATATCGAAAATTCGATTTTTACGAAATTTTAACCTAAAAATCGCCAGATCGCGCTCGGCATTTTTAGCGCGACCTTCGGGAAAAATCATCGGCATTTTTTGAGCGTTACTTTTATTTCTCGCCTGGCACTCTAAGGGTTAACCCTAGCAGTGGCCAACCGTCGCCTGGTGACGGTATGACATTGATGCTTAGAATGGCCAATGTCGTCTGGTGACGGTATGGGCCGAAATTTTTTTAACGGTAAAAAAACACTTACAATCAACTCAGATGAGAATAATATATATACCATTCGAAAGATCACATTCTGAACTTTCATTTGATTACATAAACAAACCCTGTAGCAGGTATATAACAATGTCACGACGATTAGAAATCAAATGAAATTTTGGCGCGGTACGACTTTTGCAGCCGACACTTGGGAACTGGCAAAACACGTCTTGTTTGGCATTACCCTGCTCGGGTAATTTTCGTCTTGGGATTTTGCGGGTGGTACCACTGGATAGCCATTGATTTTATCTTCATTGTGGTAGTGATATTTATAACTAAATATTGATTGCACAATCGGTACGACTTTATGAAAACAGCTGTTTTCGAAATTTCTAACAAATGGCCAACAGTCGTCTGGTGACAGTATGGAAAATACGAATTATATACAGTGAAAGTTATTATTACTAGTCATATAGTATATCATTTTGAAGAGGAAGAAATTTAGATTCAGAGAGTGGCAGCCCTGCACTCAGGGTTATTTCTGTATGCTCGCATGTAGACGACAAGTGAGTCATTAGTGACTGCTTGCTACAGTCTGTCAGCTGTCTTGTATTGCCATTGTTTGTTTGTGTTGTTGCCGGTAATAGTTTTATCCGCGATTTATTACTAAATATGTTATTAGTTCGTAGTGTTAGTGTTAGTGAAGTGTTGTGTGTGTGTATAACAGTAATCTTCATGCATAAATATTACTGAATTGTGTGAAATAGTGTTCATAAAAGGTTGTATTTTGTTAGCATCATGTCCTAAAATGACGATTCTGACATTCAGAGATTGTTGTACCTATATAATGATATACCCAAGGTGTTATACATTTTTATAAAGGTAAATGAATACACTACAACATGTTTATAATGGTTTGGGGTTAAAAAATTTTGTAAAAAAGTTATAGCCTATACTAAATAGGCCTACTACTGTATTTTGTTAGCATCATGTTCAAATATGACGATTCTGACATTCAGAGGTGCTATATATGCTATATAATGATTTACCCAAGGTGTTATACATTTTTATAAAGGTAAATGAATACACTACAACATGTTTATATTGGTTTGGGTGTAAAAAATTTGGTAAAAAAATTATATAGGCTACTAAATACTGTACACTCCATTTTCTCGAAATGCGCAAAAAATTCAAAACGTTTTAAAATTGATACATAATCATAGGTGAAAATAACTTTTTACCATCATACTTATGACTTTTTTGGATTCCTTACTTCATTATCTTTACAAATATGTAGGCTACATATCATCAGCCTACATAATGTTTCACAACACAAGCAAACACTGTAGGCTATAGTTTACACTTATTTGCGGTTTTGCGGTTATTGTATTATTATGTCCCTATTACGTACCTACAAAAAAAATATTTCTAACATGTTATACATTTTTATGTAGGTAATTGAATACACTACAAGATTATTATGTTGGTTTGAAGTAAACAAATTTGGTACAAAAGTTGTATACTAAGTACTGTGAATTTTTTTCTCGAGAAATCGCTAAAATATAAAAACATTATTTTATATACGTATGTTTATAGGTAAAAAATTATTTTTACCATAAACTTTATGACTTTTTTTTATTCCTTACTTCATTAGCTTTACAAACATGTATATATCATTATTAGTATACACATATATTATAGAACTTTTTACAACATAAACTAACACTGCACGGCTTTCAATTTTTTCGATTCTCCGTTTGTCATTATATTTCGCCCCAAAAACTTATAAAAAAAAATATTTTCCTAACATGTTATATATTTCTATGTAGGGAATTAGATTGTCTACAAAATGTATATAATGAATTTCCCATAAAAAAATCCGTAGAAAAAAAATGCAGAGGCCGCTTTTGAAACTTCAAAAAAAGATTCAATTTTTTTTTTTTTTTTTCACTTTACCGATAAAATACACTGTCTAAATCATTATGATATTACTATTTCTAGATTCTCCTGTTCTTTCCGAACAAAATGAGTATGAGGTTGGCTAGGTTTACTTGTACGGTTGAATTTTTACGAATTTTCAAAAAATGGTCTGCAAAATCGCCAAAATGGGTTGGCCATTCCCCACTTCTAACATTGGCCACTGCTAGGGTTAATAACCTAACTTAACCTAACCTAACCTAACTTAACCTTGCGGGGCTTAAATTATATGTTTCTTGCTTTCTGAGAACCTCCTGATGACCGTAGTAAAATATGAAAAAAATTGGGGTTGACCAAGTAATTGCTCAGAATTACCACTATCGATTCAATTAGTAAACCATCATTAGTTTTTTTTTCACTAGGCCAAGGCTATCAGCAAGTTTTGTTGGTTAGGTTAGGTTATGAGTTTCATTTCATAATAGATTTTATAACTTAGGTGGGTACAGTATCTTAACTGGGCTATGCTTAACGATTCGATTAGTAACTTAAACCTTCATGCGATTTTTTCACCATCAGCAAGTTTGGTTGGTTAGGTTAGGTAATGATAGTTTAATTTGATAATATATTTAAAAATATCGATTATTAATCAATATTTTCAATTCGATAGTTTCAATCGATATTAGCATAGCCCAGTTAAGAAACTGTACTCACTTAGGCTAGTTAAAATAGCCTATTGATTATTAATTGATAGTTTCAATCGGTAAGTTATTAGCTTAGCCCAGTTAAGAAACTGTACACCCAATTCAAGTAGGCTTTTAGCATAGGCCTAGACTGTATTGAAATTAGATATTGGGCCTAGGCTTGGTTAGGCTTATTATTAATATTAATTTTTCAATGTATTATAGGCCTAAATTACAATCCTTGTAGTTCAACCTTAGGGGGGATAAGGAGTCTCAATTATCAAGTTTGAATTACTTTGGGAATGTTGTCTGATCACAATGTTTTTTCAACTTACCTTAGGCAAGAACCGGCATTTAAATTAGTAAGATTATATAGTACCCTCTCTCTCCTCAGTCTCTCTCTCTCACTTTAATTTTCAAAGAACGAAAAAACAAAATGGACGTCTGTTCCTGCTGCTGGTCTGTGTCTGTGCCATCCTTTTTCCTCCGATCCTCCCTGCCGCGAGCCTTTCAAGACCGGAAAATGCCGCGCTTCTGCGCATGCGCTAGTAACTGGTGGCGTAGCAGCAGCTATTTCAGAAAGTCACGGTCACTAACCACTAACTAGCGTCGTTGTCGTAGTATTTATCTTGACTGCACTGCAACTGCAACTATAGTTCCTCATAATTATTATTCATATCGTTTGTTATTCTTTATGTTATGATCGAGTTATGTCTGAGTTGAAGTTGGGGTTAATGTTATTGATAGATTTTGATTGCTGCTGTGTTGCGGAGGTCATTTATTATCGATGATGTGCTCCTTCTTCAATGCGAAGATTCTGAGAAATACGAATGGAAGACATCAATAACACTGGAGTACTTTGTAGTTTATGTGGAAAAGTATATTTTTAGTTTATGGACGAGAAGTACAGAAGTATTCCAATTAATAAGCCAGCTATGTTCAACAAGGCAAGGCCAATAAAATAATTTGTTTTATTCACTAGCGCTTTTGAATTGAAACCTAGTTTCTGAAAGCGCTAGTGAATAAAATAAATTATTATGTATTAGCGTTGTTGAACATTTACATTTTGTTATAAATTTCATTGTAAGCAAGATGCCAATAATTCTCAAAAAGCTTAGACCATTAAAAATGAAATGAGAATGGGGATCTTCTCTTTTGGAAAACATGTTTGGGTACAATGAAGATAGATGAATAGATGATAACGGTAACGTAGCTCATAGTACAGGTAAAACTCACCTAAGAAAACATAAAAATTAGTCCATTCATGAAACTTGCAGGAAACGTAGTAATTACACTTAGGTTTTGAAATCTGAAGAGTCCCTAGTGATTGTGGGGGTGGAAGTACCATTTTATGGGGGTTAAAGTTTATGGGGGTCGTGATTTTGAGAATTTTTTTTTTTTATGTTATCCAAGCAAATGAGGTGTCGTTTTCTATGTTTCTTAGGATGCAGAATCGAAATATAACAAAATAAAAGCAATACAACCAACAGTTTATTAGAAAATGACTAATTTTTTAATGAAAAACTAAATATAACAAATTAATTAAGGTAAAATAATCCAGTTAATATCAATTACTGTATTACAAAATTGACTATGAGTCTGTGTCATATGTTAAAGTTGTGAGGAAAATTAACCAAGAAACTGGTAGTTTCGCCTCTTTAACCACCACGTGTCATATTGTTCATCAGCTACTTATGCATCTTCACCATCCATGGAATGGTGAGGTTCTCTAACTCGTTCTTCTCCATTGTCGTCTTGACTTGACACTGACAGCTAAGTGAGTATGGGTAGTAGAAAAATATTTCCGTTCTGGTGGTGATCCTGCGACTTAGGGTGAAGATAATATATGAGACTAAGAATGTAAAACCGCTCGGACCCCAATTTTTAAGGACCTTGGTCGCCCGTAATGACGTCATCAATATGGCGCTCGTAAGAGGGTGCTGGGTCGCTATGAATTTGTTATACTGTAATACCAAAACGCCTAAACCGATTTTAATCAAATTTGGCTTACAAGTGCTTGAATACAATATATAATCCCAGTTTGTCAATGGTCGAGTTTGATTAGGTCATTTCAAAATGGCGGCCGTTAATCACTAAAATAATTTAAAATTGTTTAGTGTTTTGTTTTATCAACTCTCTCCAGAAATCTGCAGCAATCTTTCATTTTCCTTGCAATCATAGGTCGTGATGCCGTCTATGTATTTCCTGGAATAGGCAAAATACCCCCACTGCAGCAAACCTGCAGATTAAGTGAGTTTCCTTTTGCCTGATTTTATTTTCAATTAAATAAATTTCAATTGAGTTTAATTAGTACCTAGGTTTGCTGCTACGGAGAGGATAATAAAGTGTGTTTTTTATTGAAATATTAATAGCCAAGGTCAAGATAAATAAATTTGCCAAGTTTTATCAAAATATATCCTTAAACGAGCAAACTACAACAGTTTACTTATTCTCCATAAGAATAAAATGAGAATGATAAATTTACAATTTTGGAATTTTCTCGGTAGGTAACCAATATTCGTACAAAAACACGTCAATAAACAAAATTATTGGTTTTTAAGGTATTCAAAATCATCATGGTATCCACAATTGTTTAGAGAGAAATTGGAAAATTTTATGTGTAGAGGGTTTATCATGACAAAACCCAATTTTGACCCCATAAATCCCCCCAAAAACCCCGTTCCCATGCTGGATTGCGAACTCGTTAAAATCAATCTAAAGATTTGTTGTACTTTTCTATATGATATAACATCAAACTTTAACAGCGTTAATGACTGTAGACGTGTACTTTTTTAAGAACGTTAGAACGGTAACTCAAGCAAAAATGACCCAATGTTGACGAAATTTGGTAAAAACGTGTAAACCTAAGTTTACTCGAACGAGTTTGCGAACCAGCATGATCGAACCATGAGAACAGGGTTTTCTGGGGGATTTATGGGGTAAAAATTGGGTTTTCTCATGTTTGCCCCTCTAAACCTAAAATTTTCTAAGCCATTTTGAATACCATGATTGGATATTTTGCTAGTTATTGGTTATATTTTGATAAAACTTGGAAAATTTATTTATTTTAACCTATATATATTTTAATTAAAAAACACACTTTATTACCCTCCCCGTAGCAGCAAACCTAGTCAACACTAATTAAACTTAAAGTTATTGAAGTAGATTTAATTTAAAATCAAATCAGGCAAATGGAAACTCACTTAATCTGCAGGTTTGCTGCGGTGGGGGTATTTTGCCTATTCCATGAAATGCAGAAACGGCATCACAACCTTTCATTGCAAGGAAAATGAAAGATTGCTGCAGATTTCTGGAGAGAGTTGATAAAACAAAACACTAAACATTTTTTAATTATTTTAGTGATTAACAGCCGCCATTTTGAAATGGCCTTATCAAACTCGACCATTGACAAACTGGGATTAGATATCGTATTCAAGCACTTGTATGCCAAAATTCATTAAAATCGGTTGAGGCATTTATTAATTCATAGCGACCCAGCATCCTCTTACGATCAACATATTGACGACGTCATTACGGGCGACCAAGGTCCTTAAAATTTGGGTCCGAGTGGTTTTTACATTCTTGGTCTTATATATTATCTTCACCCTAAGTTGCAGGATCACCGCCAGAACTGAAATATTTTTGCTTCACATACTTAGCTGCCCGTGTTAAGTCAAGACGACGATGGAGAAGAACGAGTTAGAGAACCTCACCATTCCATGGATGGTGAAGATGCATAAGTAGCTGATGAACAATATGACACGTGGTGGTTAAAGAGGCGAAACTACCAGTTTCTTGGTTAATTTTCCTCACAACTTTAACATATGACACAGACTCATAGTCAATTTTGTAATACAGTAATTGATATTAACTGGATTATTTTACCTTAATTAATTTGTTATATTTAGTTTTTCATTAAAAAATTAGTCATTTTCTAATAAACTGTTGGTTGTATTGCTTTTATTTTGTTATATTTCGATTCTGCATCCTAAGAAACATAGAAAACGACACCTCATTTGCTTGGATAACATAAAAAAAATTTCTCAAAATCACTACCCCCATAAACTTTAACCCCCATAAAATGGTACTTCCACCCCCACAATCACTAGGGACTCTTCAGATTTCAAAACCTAATGGTAATTACTACGTTTCCTGCAAGTTTCATGAATGGACTAATTTTTATGTTTTCTACTGGTATTTTAGTATAATTTTACCTGTACTATCACCCAAGTTACTTAAAATTTGTTTTATAAAAATAAAGGAGGTGCCTGAGGTTACAGTAAGTAAAGTAACACATACATAAACATAATCTGTAAAATTCTTCATTCAGTTACAGTAATTAAATGGTTTGGAGTTAAGTGCGGGAGAACCGTTCCAGTTTCAAGTAGATTGTTGCAAGAGTTGCAGTGAAGATATTAGTGTGATTTTCTGAAACAGCTGCAGCTGTTACAAGTGCTACGAATAACGCTTACCTGCGCATGCGCAGATACGCGGCATTTTCCGGTCTTGAAAGGCTCGCTCCCTGCCCGCCCCTGCCTGAATCTGAAATCTCAATCTATATTTTTTTCCTCTAGTTTGCTAAGCAGGCTTCGGTTTAATAGACCAGGCAGCCTCGATGTACACTGAGTTGTGGTTGCTTCAAATTCGTCCTGCAATTAAGGTTATTTGTTAGTTACAAACATTTGTTATTGAACATAAATGTGCACAATCAATGTTTCATGTTGATTTGTTCTAGTTTTGTTATTGTACCTAATTATGTATTAAAGATAGGATTATCTAAAGGTTCAAGGGATTCTTTAGGATGGTAGAGATAGGTGATCTTCTTTGCCAGGGGCCCATCAGGCATACTTAACTACCCAGAAGAGGGGAGGAGGGCCACGGATTAAGAAACCCAAGAGTGGACAACATAAATGTGATTCTTATAGTGTTTGTGTTTCTTTGTTCTTTTGTAAGTGAACCATCCTACTGTATTTTTAAATATAAGACACGAGGCTCATAGGCACTATGATCTGTAGATTAAGTGAGCCATGTGTTTTAAGAATTACATATTTGGAGGCTCATAGTGTCTATGATTTGTAGTGTAAGTGAGCTGTCCCCACTGGAATTACCACACTTTAAAAAACGTACCACTGTTTTTTGCTGGGTTTGTTCAAGGCCCCACTAGCTGGCTGTTTGTAAGATTTTAATGGTAAGAGTTTAGTACAACTATCCACCACTGTGACGTAGTATTGCGCTGCCCGCGCTGCAGCATGGCCTGTGTTTGTTTCAGAGTATTGTGTTGTTAGGTTGGGGGTTGGCCGTGTGATCGGTTGGTGGGACTTGTCATCTTGTCAAATTAGAGACAATATCAAGGATGGCGTAATCCAGTTGTTTTGTTGATAGTAAACAAAAATATGCCTATGTCAACATTATGATTGCAGATTGCAAAAAAGTTTATTTATTTATTT